GGTTCACTTTGAGAAGCTGGCGAAGCACATTCTGGATGTGTTCGAAGGCTGCGTATTGGCGCATGCGACTAGGCATCTCCTTCGTCATCTTGATCAATCCATCAATGGATTGACGAAGTTTTCTCGGCTGAACACTAGTCCAGAGCATGTCCCTCAGGTCATTAAGGCTCTTCCAGATGGTCGACAGAGCTGCCCAGACAGACATGAAATCTTGCACCTCTTCCAAAATGGCGGGTAACGCGGACTCTACGCCCGCTGGAAGGTCGAGAGCCTCCTTCGCTTTCGAAACCATCTCATACTCGGACTGCAGAGACTCGAGACGAGACTGGAACGAGCTCAGTGTGCGAGACGCTTCTTCGGGTGGAATTGTACCGGACACGGGCTTCTCTTCGTTCCACTGGCTGATGACTTCCGTGATCTTGTCGCCAATGACCTTGTCTTCGGCCGCAATCTTCGCACGTAGTCCTTCGGTTTGGTCCTGGACGATCTTGCTCTTCCGCGCAAGGAGCTCGTTCAAGGCTGCCCATTCGCCATCAACGTTTTCAACGTGAAGCCAATCGCTGGGGAACTGATAGCGCTGACGAGCAAGTGTGGCTTGACCTTGACGGAAAAGATCAACCTCTGGTTCCCAAACCTTGGCTTTGCGCTTGCACTGCTGAACAATTGTGATGAAAGAGACAGCGTGGGCCGTAGAAGCTGCCTCCAAAGTTTGTCCTTCCAGGTCCCTGCGGGCAGCAGCGATCTCAGAATGAATCTCCCTCATTCGGCCTCCAAGCTTGGATCCGAACTTGAGCAGGATCTCATGCTGCCATTGATCATACTTAGAATTCACTCGCGTCTGGACTTGTTCGTAGTCAATCTTAATGTTGCCGAATGACCGGCTCACTTCCGAGGTATCGAAGGTAGCACGGCTCTTTCGAATCTCTTGGAGGAGTTGCAACCATTGAGACAGGTCATCACCAAGGATATCATAGACTTGTTCGGACTGCAAGTCCCAGAGGGACTGGAATTGCAGCCATTTTTCCACGTACGCCGAAACATCCTTCAGTCTCGACTCAATGGCATTGTAGACCTGGTTCAATTCATTGGTGCAGTGTTGGGGAAGAGTAGCGAAGCATGCCTCAGAGAGCTGAATCTTCTGCACATCAATTGAAATCTGGTATCTAGACGACTTAATCTTCTCAAGATTGCAGATAACACCAAGCCAGTTGTCAAAATGAGCGAACCAGCTGGCGCGGGCATACTGCAGTGGTGGGTCAAGGTGGAGAACCTGGTTGCGCATGGAGATCTCGTGTACGAGGCCGGGGAACTCGATGCTGTACAAAGAAGCTTCGTTCTCACCGGTCTGTACTCTACTGGAGATTTGCATGGTGTGATGACTGTCCGTTGCGTCCTGGAAAGAGAGAATCCATTCGCGTATGGCGCGATGGAGGCGCTCGCGCAGAATCAATTCGATCTTGTGGTTCAGATTGGCGACCCAGTATCCCAGGTTCACATAGTTCTCTAAGTTCAGCTTGTCGACTGCGACCTGAATAGCATCCAGACGTTGTCTAAACGCAGTAGCATCATAAGGGCAGGTCTTCAGCTCATGAATTGCCTTCTGGATACTTTCATTGATCGAAGCCAGGACCGCTGTCTTGGACTGAAGCACAGATGCTGACCCAGCGAACTCACGGACGAACTGAACATGCTTGCTTTCTCCCCTGGTTGGGATGGCCGTCTCAATGGCTCCGTTAGCCAACGCAGACTGTTTAACATGGAGCTCATATGAGTGGACAAACGATTCCCATCGTAGGGGAACACCCTTGATGATCATGGTTTGAGCGTCGTTCACGTATCCATTCAACAGGATTGCAACATCGGTCATGGTCATAATCGAGCGATTTGTTTGTAGCAGGGTGCGGACACTCTCCATCAGGCTGATGGCATACGGGTAGACGCGCTTGGCTTCTTTGGAAATGTTGCTGACCGCATGGGGAACTTGGAAATTAAGCCAGATAAGGTTTCTTACCTCCTTAAATAAGGCAATGATCTGGGCATCGAAATTGACAGTCAGTTCCAGTGTGTTTCCAGCAGCACGGTTGCGCACAATGTTGAACAGGCGGCCGGAAATGGTGATGTGCCGCCGTTGTACATCGTGGAGCCAAGACTCAAAGACCGGGCGCGTATCCAGTTTCTTGCGGAACAGATTACTCTCAGCCTGGAGCTTCTGCCCCTCAGAATGAAGGTGCCAATCTTCTCCAAGCACGTTCTCAACTTTGCGCATGTATCCGTCTAATTGACGCTCAATCTGCCGCGCCCAAACAATGGCACCGGCAACAGGGGGCATATCGCGCAATTGCGCCATTGCATGTGCTTCTGAGTGACCATATTGTTGCTTAAAGCGCTCATGCAACGATGAGATATCTTGCTTGACGTTTTCAATAAGTTGAGTCTGGTACTCGCCGATAGCACCTCGGATTTTAGGGCGGACGAGAAGAGCATTAAATTTGGAGAAGACACGGAACATCTCATTGGCGTTCTTTGCAGTTGCCAGACGGTCTCGGAGACGGGCTATGATAGAGTTCTCGACACGGGACGTACGCTCATTGTAAGCGATCTCTTCTTTAATCCACTGCTGGGTGCCGAGAGGAGAGACATCCAAGACGTCAACATTCTTCAGGGCTGCGTAAGCTTGAGCAACTTCTTCAACAGCGTCAACGTCGCCAATCTCCTCGACAATGACGGCTCCATCAGAACCAGCTCCGGCAACCGCATCCCCAGCAGAAGTTGTCTTTGGACCGAGGACGTTCACAATTGTGCGTTGAAGCTGCTCATGATTGACTCTGAAGGTATTAATATACTTCAATCGTTCTTGGGTCTTCTCGTGGCGCGCGGCGATCTTGATCGGAATGAACTTCTCATTGCGGCGTCGAGTAGACTCACGAGCGACATTGGTGAACTCTTTCAGATTTTCATCCCAGGTTCGCCAGATGGCGCCGGCCGTCTTCATCAACGATCGAAACTCACGGTAATCGAGATGGAGGATAGTAGGGCCGTGTAGAAGGGAATGGATCACGTTGTCAAGGTCTCCAGAGATAGCTTCCACCAAGGAAAGTGCGCGCTTAATGGGATAGGGGCAGATCTTCAACTTCTTGTTCAGATGGTTGAAGATCAAGTTCAGGGATTCCTGGACTTTCTGCAACGTGGTTGCCGACAGCAACTCATCCAGGGGAAAGTCCCGCATAAGCTGGTTGTATTTCTGAACCAGATCGGTTGCCTCGCGCAAGCCCGTGTCCGCGACGAAACTGAGAGTGGCTTGATAACGCTTCGCATGTCGCAAGATGTCCATCGTCAACTGAACGCCGTCGCCGCGCAGTTGAGCTTCGATACCTTCAAGAGCAGTTTCCATCGACAGCCAGAAGCTGATCTCTTGAGCTGCGGACCCGCTATCGGCATCACGAGACATCTTGGTAATGGTCTGAATCGACCGAATCCAGCCGTTGACGTTGTTCTGGATACTGTTGATGAAAGCGCTGCTCTCCAGAATCGTCGGGCTGATCAGCTCCACCGAAGGCCTGACTCCGCGCTTTTCTGCCTCGAGCAGCGCCCCCTGGACCACCTCATGGAGCGGCAGATTCAAGGCGGGGATCTCGACATTCTGCTGCAAATGCTGAAACGCGAGTTCCAGCTCCGCGAATTTCTTCTTGGTGCCAGGGACCCCAGTCTTCACCTCCGTATCTGTCCGGGGCTTCGCTCCACTAGCGACGTCCTGGGTGCGGCTGTGAGCTTCGAAGTAAGGACTGAGCGCGTGGCGAAGCAGCAGGTGTAGGATCTCGTAGGGTGAGAGGGCGTTGCTCTGCTGAGCCGGATCGGTACTCAAGGAAGCGACACCCGGAAGGTTGAGCACCTGGATCTGCGACGAGATGGGGAGCGAGGGATCGATGGCCGAGGGCCGCTTGATGAAGGCGACGGAGGCGACGGTTGTCGGGGCGGACGAGATTTCGGCGGCGAGGCTGTACACGTACTGGCTTGACGATTCTGCGCAAGTTGAAGATAATGGATTAGCTGAGATTTATCGCAAAGGCATGGTGTCTGTCCCAGGAGGAGTAGGTACCCTCGTCAACGTCGGCCCCGTTGGCCTCTCCAGCGGCCACCAGGTCCTTCTGCACATAGAGAGCGACCTGCGACTCTGAGGCAAACCGGGTGCAGCGCTGCACAGTCTCATTGTATTTGGCCTCGGATAGCAAGCTGCCGGTGCTTTCCAGCTCAGTTCTCAGAGCGCCGAGAGTCACCTCCAACACACCGATCAAATACTGAATGACAGCACTTGGATCCACCAAAGCTGTCGTCTGCGCCGATGGCGGGGCCCCGTTTGAGACCTCCGCACTGGCAACCTCCATATCTGTAACTCCTTATGTACAACGATGCGCGAATGTCATAGAGGTTGTAGGATGGGTTTCGTTCTAGATCCGGGGAAAGAGCAGGCCGGGGGGGGGGGGGAGTGAGCGGGAGAAGATGCGGATTTGTTGACACCAGAAAGTCGCGGTATCGGTTCGGGTGCGCGGAATCAAACCAAGCTCAAGGTATAGTCGGAACTTGGAAGACCACGGCAGGAAAGAGAGCGATCGAATGAATGAAGCGAGCTGAAAGTGAGGAAATGAAGTGAGAAGCTGTATATTCAGGGGTTCATAAAAGGGATTTGTAGGTAGTATGATAACACCAAAGATCTTCCGATCGGGCTTTCAGTTTTAGTTGTGGTTCCAGGCACTTTTTTTCCCAACCAGCGGAACGCGGGTTGGAGAACAACAGACCGTCAGTCAGTCAGTCAGTAAGCCTGAAGGAAGGGAACCTGGGACCTTCAGGGGGCATGCCTGCCACCTTCCCTGTTTGAGACTAGCCGCTCCGTGCCCCAGCTCTTGCCTACCACGGATCTGCACGCCCAGTCTAGACTGCCTACGGAGTACCACCACATCTAATTTACTTAGGGAATAACGGGATCTATAATCATAGATCTTGACAGCCACATCAACTATCCATTCAACACCTTGTCAAAAATTCACAATTGACTGCTCTGACTTCATAAAGCACATCATCCCTCATATCGCTGCTCCAATTTCCTGGTCTGCCGCATCACACACCTCCCGACAATCGCAGTCATATTTCTTGCGGAACTCCAACCGCGTCATTGCCTCCAGAGCCGCCAATGCCCTCTCGCTGGCCTTGACTTTGGCGTAGCGACTAGACGACGACATACCCTCGGCAACGACAACATCATGCACAAAGACTGCTGCCAGCACACTTGCTTGAGTCCCATCGGCACCAGGCAGCTCTCCAGCTTTCAGGCAGTAGTTCAAGCAGCCATACTCATTTCCGAGTCGGTTATGGAGGAACGTCTAGCGCTGGTCAGTCATCACCTCAAAAATATGATGTAAGGGAGTGGCTCTTACAGTTGGATGCTTGTTAGCAAATGTGTCGTAGATGGCCATGTCCTCGAAATAGGGCTGGATAAAGCGACGGAAGAACTCTTCAACCGCCTCGAAGTCAAAGCTCGAGTCGACGAAGATGGCTCCCAAGTAGGCCTCGACCATATCCGGCAAGCACTAAACAGTCAAATTAGCCTGGCTCGGTACATCGGGATCAGACATCTCTCTACCTTCGGAGGATCGTTAGCATCAACCCAGTAATCTACTGCACCTTTGCTGTCACTCTCCGCAATCTGAATTGCTTGCGCATAAAGAGTGATTTGTGACTGTAAAGGGTTGCTGAAGTGTTTCAAGTGCGTGTGAAGACCCAGCTTAACCGCTAACGCACCGAGGTACTTGTTGGACACCATCGCCATCTGCAGCTCAATTGTCAATAATGTTCTTGCCAGTTCCATGGCGGTCAGTCGCCTACCTTGTGCTCGGTGAGCCACTGAGGATCTCGATCTGGGAAACGGTGGAATATATTCTCGACACAGACCATGTCAAGCAGAGCGTCTCCAAGAAACTCCAGTCGCTGGTAGCAGGGAACCTTAGCCCAAGCGGAGGGCAGGGAAGGGTGCGTGAACGCGGATCGCAAGAGCCGGGGATACTTGAAACTGTAACCGAGCTTCTCCTCGACCTGTCGGGCCAAATCAAGCTCGAACCCATCAGGGGTCTGGACTTGATATCTAGGCATGCTGTATAGACTCTGGTAATCCCTCCAGGAGGTGACTTTGTGGCTCGCATCGTCTACTAGAGCAGTCACTGCTTTGACTGCCATGTCAAATCGATGCTGGGGTCCCCCGGTGAGCAGGGATGCTCCGATTAATGCCTCACAGACGTCTGCGATAGTCTTCTCTCCAAGTGCATGTTTACTCTCTGAGCTCATCTGCTTGCTGTGATCCTTTCCCCGCAAGAGGCTCAAGCCATCAGGATACCATGTGTGTCTTTAGTAGTTGTTAGTGGATTATGTTCATTCAAGTCTGTCTAGGGGCTTCATACCGAGAGAAACCTTGAGTCCTAATATACTTGTAGAGTTCCTTCTGTACCGCCGTGTTGAATAGGTTCCTGTTGCAGACAAGACACATTCGGCTGACATGGTAGTCGAATTCATCATCATCTGGATTTTGTGAGAAAAGAGCAATGGAGGTAGCCATCTTGAGAAAGCAGTCCCCAAGGAACTCGAGGCGCTCGTAATTCTTCCCCATACCCCTTTGTACGTGAAGCTGCTGGGCTCGATGCTCCTCTGTGTTATCAGAATCCTTGGTTAAAGCCTCGAGTGCCAACTCAAGTTTGATCGTAAGATCCAACCTCCCGCAAGCTTCCAGGGTTATCAGATACGAGTTCATCCGGGATATAATGGCAGGAAAAGCCAGACATGAGGCTGCTACAGGAGCAGGAATCTTGTTATGGTCAGTTCGGAAAGCAGCTGACTATGGGGCAAAAGAAGTCACGAACAGTGGAGATCTTAAGCGGCTCTACGCAAATATAACACCTCGTTTCAACTTCTCTTTCTGCATCCGTCATCTTATCCAACAGGTTTCTGCGCAGGCGAACTAGTTCCGCTTTCAAAACAGGCTGGTTCCAATCGCAACCTGAGAGGAATTTGGCACGCGAATTCTTCGAAAGACTAGTGCTGTAATTCATGATATCGTTCATGTACCTGCGCCGTGCCACAAAAGCAGGTGGGGGGTCTGAGGGGTGTAGACTTTTCTCAACCGCAAGAGTGAAGTATCTGCATGCTCCGTTCCAGTTATCGAAGACCAGGCGATCAAGCAGATAATTTGGATTTGCATTGCTTGGGACCGGCAAAGTCTCGTTCTTATACACGTGGATCAGGGTCTTCCAGTCAACCAAGTCCCTGGGGCTGGTGCCTCGATCTGGAATTACTTGAATATGTGTCGGTCCTAGCCAATATGCCATCCTCTCGGGTTGGTAGCCATAGGTCTTGTGGAAGATGTCACCGAACACTCGAAGGAAAAATGTCGTCAAATGTTGCAGCTCTATCTTTGATATTGTTAGCTGTTCTTTCAAAGGAACCAAATGCACAATCGTCTCTATATCCTCATCGAGATAGATGGGAAATGCTGGAAACTCGGGAAGGGGGTTCCTAGTTAGCAACAAGAGACTTGCATGTTGTCTTGTTAGCGGACCGGAAGGTTCCAACAGGACTACAGCGATGTAAAGACTACTTGGATGCTCGCCTCTTTTGTCTTCCCAGAATGACGGTTTGACTATCATGTCGTACTGGCTAGTCTGCTTGGAGGTTATGGCAAGCTTGGCATTCCTCATCGCAGGCAAGCGACGGTGGAACATTGACTTGAAGTGATTGTCGAGCAACCCAGCTTTGCGTAGCCGTATGCAGGTATCAAATGCTGCAGACTGCATTGCTCTCGATTTTCGGATTTCCGGGCTTCCAGTGAGCCCTACCACTGGCGACTTCTCAGGCAGAATAACCTCGCAAACAAAAGCATTGTGAACAGGAAGTACCACATAGTGCACTTTCGCGTCTTGCTCTTTCTCATATTGCTTGAATGGTTGCTACGTCAGCACAACGACGGTCTATCACATGGATCACATTTACCAGAGAGCTAGCATAGCGGGCGAGTATGGCAATGGCGGAGTGATAGGTCAACTTGGCACCAGATGCTTGGATAGTGTAAGTCCGCTTGCCGGCTTCTTTCTCCAAAACCTTTTCTAGGTCATCGTTTCCATGCAACAATCTGTTCTCAGGCAGAGCTTCGCAGAATTGTTGCATTATGCTCTGTATCAGATTAGCCCGGCTCTTGTAAGCACGATATAAACCTACCTCGGCATCTCGAACCTCCGACAGGCGGTCCTGGTGCTGCGAATTGTATTTTTCGACCATAATTGCATACTGCAAATAATATAAGCATTGACCTCGGCGGATCGGGAGTCATCTCTCATACCGTTGACCTGTAGTGTCGGGCACGACCACGGCTCTGCACGTACTGAATGAGTGTCTGATACAGATCGAACCTATGCTATAAGTCAGACTCTCTCAGTGGTAGATGTGTACTTTTGAATACCTAACAACGAGATTACAGTCCGGAATATCGAGACCTTCTTCAGCTACCGAGGTAGCGAACTTATCTAGTCAGCATTATTGTTTCTGTAGGCAGGATCATCACATACCAAGCAGTTGATTTCTCCTTCTCTGAATTTGATCAAGGTAAGGAATTGCTGACGAAAGGTTACGCCCATTCCTGCAACGTCACCCGATCGAACTCCAATAAGCACACCAGGTTGAAGGAAAGGGATAGATAAGTTGTTGAAAAGCTCAAACAGCATCAACGCGGTGTAGCGTTTCTCTGTGAAGACAATGCACTTTGTCTGATCTGGATGCAGAAAACGCTTCTGCAGCTCTGCACGGAGCAGCTGCACCTTAGAGCTTAGCGCTTCTGGACCGGAAGGGCTACTGAGCTCATGTCTTTTGACAAGGTCGCTGGCCTCTCTGATTCGCGAGATTTGTGTATGTGTATCCTGGGGCTCTGTGAGTGAGCTATCAGACTCAACCGACTTGTTGATCTTCCCCTCGAGTCTGGGCAGAACGTCATCTGCTAAAGCACGTAGCCATGCTCTATCCGAGCACCAACTACCTAGTTCAGAGGTTGCCTGCCAGGCAAATTTGAAGATGCCCTCGAGACACTCGAGGTCACCAAAGCGTTGCTTGAGATCCTTGTACAAGGCTGTCGCTACTGGGGGCTCTAATCTCTTGTATTCCCACGTTTCTTCGACTGGGCGACTGACATATTGCCGCAGTAAGGTAGCCTGGGATGTTGTGGCAATAGTGCTGTCAAGCAATGTTTCGAGTCTCCTATGAGACGTTAGCAAGTGCATTGGAGAGAAAGAGGAAAGCTTATTCATACATCGCAGCATCGACCACATCACCTTTGGTGTCCACTGGCGAAGCCGTCATCCCAAATATCCTTGGCCGTTTTGAAGGAACCTCCTTCAGGTATGTGTCACGAATAATCCTAAGCCCAGTTAGACAATGTACTCGAGTTTTGTCATACAATGCACCCACCGTGCATACGGATGATCTTTCTTGGTATGATGAGCTTCATCGAAGATCAAGAGATTGATCTGATCCATCCTGATGTAAGAATTGAGCAAGCACTGATGCAGGATCTCCGCCGTGCAGACAATGACCATGTTTGTCCTGAAATGCTCATCCCAGATCTCCTTGTTCCATAGATCAGTTCCCATGGCGCCGAAGAACTGACCAACGCTCTGATCGAGGTTGTGACGTAGCACTGCCGCTTGCTGAAACGCGAGAGTAACGCTATCGACCTGTCGGCGTGTGAGTTTTCTCATAGAATAATAGTGAGGTATACGCACCAAGAAAAATGATATGCGATGCGGCTTGTCTTGAGCACGATCATTGAGCTCGTTCTGCAATGTATGCCTAAGCAGCAGCACTGCGATTAGAGTCTTTCCCGAGCCTATAACACAAATAGATCAGATATGCAGACTTGATGAGTAGATGTCGGTCTATACCAGTTTCGAGCACAGCAATTGTATTCTGTGCTTTGGCCCTTTCGAATAACTCCACCTGGTAGTCTCTTGGGTCCAAGGTACCAGTAGCCAGATCGTGCTTGACTATCAAGTGAGCGGTCGAAAGCTGAGCGTCTGGCAGATCAGGAGCCGCCCTTTTGTTGGTGTCGACTGGATAGATGACCGCGCGCTTGGACAAGCTGGGTGACAGTTAGTCACATTCAAATATGAAGGTAACTGATGGAATTAACTAACAGGACATTGAACTTGGCATTTTGGAGTCTCCGTCGTTGCGAGGCATCCATTGGGTTGATGCTTTCTTGTTCATCATCACCCGAGTCAGACGAGCTGGAAGCGTTCTCGACGTCCTCTGAGGAGATTTCGACTCCACTGGTTTCGTTGGAGGTGCTTGGGACGTGATCCTTACTGTTGGAGGCAGAAATGCCCAGAGATTCGGCGTTGAGGTTGTCGACGTTCGACCCAGCCATTTTCATGCTCTAGGCTCGACTCGGAGCAGGATGATCGTGGTGGAGAGAGGGAAGTTGTTCAGGTTAGAGATGCGGAACAGGTAAAGTGAGTGTTCAATGAAATGGTCAAGTATTGCAGTGGGTTGAATCTCACATCAACAGCTCTTGCCAGTGTTACTGTGTCGTGCAGTGAATACGAACCATACAGCAAACGGGCCATGGTCTGTTGGTAGTGGGTGAATGTCTCACACCCCGGCTTGAGACTCGTCTTCGAAAATATACATGGGAGTTACACAACTTCATAAGGATTTTCGCCAAAGGTATCTGCTCGTTACAACAGACATTACAAGTATATAGCCTTCGCAACTAAGCCAATACCATAGACAGAACTAGACCGGAGCAATTTAGTGTTGGATATATATACTTCCCAGCAACCGGGATGGAGCGCAAGGATCCACCCCTAAATTGCTAGCTGCGGGGCTTGCCGCGGGGCGGGCCAGGAATTATTTCTTCGAGACCATCCTCCGTATTCAGCTTCAACTCCCTCCAGCAAATCTCCCAGCACCACCCTCCGCAAGACGCAAAATCACACCCAATGGAACAACCACAGAACCTACGCACCCTGTTCACCGAGGCGAAAGCCGAAAAGTCCGCGCTGGAGGGGCGGTTCGACAGTAACACGGATGCTTATCGCAGTGATGTCAACGCAGTCATAGCCAAGCTTGAGGAATGCCAACGATTAGTGAGCTTGCTGTCGCTGTTCAGCTCCAACGAAGCCCTCGAGGATATCTCCACCGGAGATTTACAGTACTGCCCCCCAGACCATCCTGTTAAAGCATAGACATTTGATCTGAGCTTGTCTTTTGTTCACACTCCCCCCCCTCTCTCACTGCAGATACCTGACCGTCGAATACCTGCTCGCCGACCTCCTCCAAAGAACCTACACATCGGACCGCGAAGCCTCCCTCCGCCGTGCATTGAGCCAATACGAAAAGTTCCTCTCCCGGCTGGAAGAATACGACATCCTCAGCGCCAGCGACAAGAAGCTCTACGAGCGGTACGCGGCCAACCCGTCCACCTTCTCCCTCACCCCCACCAACGATGCGGCGGTCCGGCGCGAGGTGAAGATCACCCGATTCCGGGAGGAGAAGGAATTGAAGCAGAAACTCGAGGTTAGACAGCACCACCACCACTACCACATACTCTTGACATGAAGGAGACCGCCCCGCTTACTCAATGTGACCCCCCAAAAAGTACTTGTCCAAGAACAAAGACCGCCTGCAGAGCGACGAGGACGATGTGCGCGCATTGTACCTGGCGGAGCTGGCGCTCTACGCCCACCAGACGTTCCAGTCGCTCGATCTCCTGTCGCAGGAGTTGTCTATGTTGGCCACGATGCGCACGGCACCCCCCAAACCCACCGAGCTGTCGCAGGATGATCCCCGGAGACGCAATGGGGATGCCGAATCGGGCTACTCCGAGCGACTGGATCGCCCGATCGCCGAGCTCTTGAGAGGGGGAAGGCTCGGGCCGATATTGAGCAAGGAGGGACGGCCGATGCAGCCCTTTACACTGCTGGATCGCCGCACCCAGCTGCAGCAGGGCGTGTTCCGCTCCGGGCACAACCTGCCAACTATGACAATCGATGAATACCTCGAAGAGGAGCGAAGGCGGGGCAACATAATCGAAGGGGGAGGCGAGGCGTCCGGGATCAAACCAGAGGTCGACGAAGACGACCACGATATCGCCGACGGAGAGACTATGAAGGCCCGGGCCTGGGATGAGTTCAAGGAAGCAAACCCCCGAGGCTCGGGAAACACTCTGAATAGAGGATGATTGTTATGAATGCTATATAGATGCTGATGATTTGGTTTCTTGGTCCGGGTCTTGCCATGAGACTAGCACATATAATGAATGCATATATTTTCTTGCTAGATCTGCCGTCGACGCAGATATATGCCTTATGAATGTTGTTATCTCATAATCTATCTAAACCTGCAACCTGCCGTTTCCTTGTATGGGTATCCGTCTTTTTCATATCCTTCATGCCTCCCGTGAAGGAGAGGACCAGCATCTCCACCACAACATCGTTGTACTGTACAAGACATCATTGAGAGGCCTGCTTGTTCCGCTGGATCTCTTCGAGGATCTTTCCAGCGCCCTTAGCCACCAGAGCATTGGCGACCGTGACCCCGAACTCCTCAGCAGCGTGAGGGGTATCCACGGAACCATCCACTTCCACCTCGGAGCTCTCACTGCCATCCACACTAACGACAACCGACCGCATCCTCAACTTGGACGAGCCATCGGCCCCGCGAACCCACTCCGACTCGACACCCAGGGGGGCACTGCAGCCACCCTCCAGGGTGCGCAGCAGGCTGCGCTCCGCCAAACAGGCCAGAGTCGTCTCCTGGTGACCGATGCCAGACAACATGTCGAGCACAAGCCGATCATCCTTGCGGACCTCAATCCCCAGCGCCCCCTGCCCGACGGCGTAGAGCATGCCGGCGTTCTGGGAGTCCAGATAGGCGGTGATGCGATCCTGCAGGTCCAGGCGGAGCAGCCCGGCGGCCGCCAGGATCAGACAGGCGTACGGGCTATCCTCCGCGTCCAGCTTCGACAGACGAGTGCCGATGTTTCCGCGAACATCCGTGACCTTGAGATGGGGGTACCGCCGCGCCAACTGGGCAGTGCGGCGGATGGAGGAGGTGCCCACCACCGAACCCGCAGGCAGGTCGGCCAGGCTCTTGTACGGTAATCCCTGCTTGACGACCAAGACGTCGCGCGTATCTTCCCGGTCCATCATCGGGCCCAGTGTGCATGAGGGCGGCAGCAAAGTGGGGACATCTACGTTGCAACAACAAGTCTGTCAGCCCAAAAATTCCCAGAGCCTTTTCTTGTTCTTCGGTTGGGCGCCGCCACACCACTTACCCTTGAGCGAATGCACGATGAGGTCCACATGACCGGCCACCAACAGCTCCTCCAATTCCTGAGTCCACAGGTTCTTGGTGGTGAAGTCCCGCAGCGCGATGGTAGTGTTCTGGTCGCCGGCGGTTTCACGCGAGTGGATCTTAAATTCATATTCGGGCCATTTGGCCTTGAGAGCGGCCTGGACCAAATCGGTTTGGAGCAAAGCGAGCTTGGACTTGCGCGTTCCGATGGTGAAGACCTTGCGGGAGGAGGAGGGATCAGCGGCGTTTGCGCTGGCGAGCGGGGCAGAGGCCATTCCGACGGTGGTTTGGGGGGGAAAATAGAACAGGGGAGAGGAGAATAGAAGCGGGTGGGTGAAAGAGGAGAATAGAACGGGAATGCGCTCCGAAAGGACAAACAAATAGATCGGTCAATTAAGGACTGAGAGGGGTCAGAGGTAGTGGCGATAGAAAAGCGTGCTGTCAAGGTAAACTTAGTGGTTAAGGTTGAATCTCCGGCTCGAGCACATTTTCCTCCGGGTATTTTTTGCGGGTTCTGTTTTGTCATACGACCCGGCTGGACTGGTCCGGTCCGGGGCAAAGACAGTGGGATATTGTAATCTTACAGCGGTAATATTACAACTGGGGCCCTTTTTGCCTCTGCACGATAGAGAGCATCCCGATAAGCGAATCTACTGTTCAATACACGTCATGATGAGTGTAGACAAGTATCCTGAGTACTCGTAGTACTCATAATTGCGACCATCTTGATCGACAGTGTACCTTATCAGATCGAACCTAAAGGGGATAGAAGCTGGTGGAAGAGCAAGGAGCAAGTGAGACAAGAGGAGAATCCCCCAGGTTTTTGGGGTTATTTAACTCAGGGTTGGTCGTCTGACGGCTGCGAACCTCGGCATGATCGGGAGGGAGTGCGCTTATCTTTCGATCTCCTCCTCCTCCTCCTCTTCTCCGCCTCACAACCCCAGACGGGAGTGTCACGCTTGTCTGCCTTCTTCCATCCATCCATCCATCCATCCATCTATCCTCGAGGTTCTGGAACCCACTTTCTCCCCTCGCATTCCTCAACTTCTCCCCTTAAACTATCCATCAAATATTCTATTTTACGTTTTCCCACTTGCTCATCCTCTTTTATAATCTTGACTCAGCTGAAACAACCACACCCTACCTCTCTTGTTGTTATTCCTCTCTCAGCTTCTATCATTGTACCCTTTGCGATCCACGTTTGAATTGATCTGGCATCCATCTTCCCGCGATGGGTTCCCACGGCGGCAGAACCACCAAGCTAGCCTTGGTACCGCTCCCCAAAGGCTCCGTCTTACTTCCTGGAGTGACTCTCCGCATTCCGGTCTCCAACCGACCCGATATCGCGAATCTCCTGACCACCGTGCTGGACCGCTCTCCCGCAGCGAAACGCGATGGGAGTATCGTCACCTTCGGATGCATTCCTCTCAGCTCCCCGTATCTCAGCAAAGATGGCCAGCGGGTCATCGATGATGGGACCCTGGAGGAGGACAAGCGGGAGGAGTACGAGATGATTGATGCGGGACAGGCGCGCAAGGAGGACCTCTTCCGGTATGGCACCGTGGGCAAGGTGATCGGCATTCAACGCCGTGCCTACGCAGAGCCATCCCTCCTGGTTCAGGGAATCCAGCGCTTCACCCTCAAACGAGTCCTCAAGGAACGGCCGTTCTTTGAGGCCGAAACCATCATCCATGACGATAAAGGTCGGTGTCCATCGTGTTATTCTTCTCTGTTGATGCCCCATGACATCTTTGGCTAATCATACATATCTGAAATTGCAGTCATCAACGACACTGAGACGGTCGACCTGTTTCAACAGCTAAGACAGCTTTCGAAGGAGCTATTGACTCTTCTGCGACTGTCCTCCCTTCTGCCCTCTGCGGGAACCCGTCTATCGCCCATCATCGCTCGTAAATTCGAGATCTTCATCACCAAGTCTGATATTTCCCACGCAGGTAGACTGGCCGACTTCATGGCCGATGTTGCCGACTCGGGTTTTGAGGAGAAGCTCCGCATTCTGGCCTCGTTCGATGTCCGAGCCAGGCTAGCAGGCGCCATCGAGATTCTGAGTCGGCAGGTACAGAACATCAAGAGCAACGTCAAAGTCACGACCATCACTACCAATACATTCCCCGGGTCTTCATTTGATATCAGCCAGATCGATCCGCGCGAGCGGGAGCTGCTGGCCAAACGAGCAATGGCAGGCCTGACGGGATTGACGCCGCCGGGGATGGCAAGCGGCCGGAACAACGACGGCGATGAGAAAGAAGCGAACGAGGTTGACGAACTCCAACAAAGACTCAATGATGCTGAGCTTAGCCCTGAAGCCAGGAAAGTCGCGGATAAGGAGTTGCGTCGTCTCCGGAAGATGAACCCTGCGAATGCAGAGTACGGTGTGTGCAGAAGCTACCTCGAGAATATCGCCGACATTCCCTGGACCAAGGTCACCGAAGATCAGCTTGGTCCTGAGACTCTGAAGAGAGCTCGCCAGCAATTAGACGACGACCATTACGGCCTGGAGAAGATCAAGAAGCGGCTTCTCGAGTACTTGGCGGTGCTGCGTCTAAAGCAAACCTCTAACAAAGATGTGCAACGCCAGATCGAGAGCCTCACCCAGGAATTGGATGCTTCCGATGCGGGCGACATCGAAAAGGATGTTCCGACTCTATCAGAAGCAGACAGGGTTGCTCTTGAGACCAAGCTACACCTGTTGGAGTCCAAGCGCATTGGCGACAAATCACCGATCCTTCTGCTTGCCGGCCCTCCGGGTGTCGGAAAGACGAGTCTGGCACGGTCCGTGGCTGCCTCTTTGGGTCGCAAGTTCCATCGGATATCCCTGGGTGGTGTCCGGGACGAAGCAGAGATCCGAGGTCATCGGAGGACCTACGTTGCCGCAATGCCTGGTTTGATCGTCAATGGTTTGAAGAAGGTCGGTGTGGCCAACCCGGTCTTCCTGCTGGATGAGATCGATAAGGTGGGCGGAGCGAACTTCCAGGGCGACCCCTCAGCAGCCATGCTCGAAGTCTTGGACCCCGAACAGAACCACACCTTCACCGATCACTACATCGGCATCCCAATTGACCTGAGCAAGATTCTTTTCATTGCCACGGCCAACTCGCTAGAGACCATCCCCGCCCCGCTCCTCGACCGTATGGAGACAATACAGTTGTCCGGCTACACGAACATCGAGAAGCGACACATTTCCAAGAGACATCTTATTCCCAAGCAGGTCCGGGCCAACGGACTCTCTGAGGGCCAAGTCATCTTATCGGACGAGGTTCTCGACAAAGTCATCACGTCGTATACCATGGAATCTGGAGTACGGAACCTGGAGCGTGAAATCGGCTCGATCTGCCGGTCCAAGGCGGTGCAGTACGCAGATGCGGGTGACGCAGGCCGACTGGAAGCGTACAATCCCGTGGTGAGCCTCGAGGATCTGGAGGATATTCTCGGCATCGAGCGTTTCTACGAGGAACTGGCGGAGAAGCATGGCCGGCCCGGCGTGGTCACGGGTCTCGTGGCCTTCTCCACCGGCGGCCAAGGCAGTATCCTGTTCATCGAAGTGGCTGATATGCCGGGCAACGGCAATATCCAGCTGACCGGTAACTTAGGCGGCGTTCTCCGCGAGAGTGTCGAAGTCGCTCTTACCTGGGTCAAAGCCCATGCCTACGAGCTGGGACTGTCCGCGGATCCCAACGAGGACATCATGAAGAACCGCAGCTTGCACGTGCACTGCCCGTCCGGAGCAGTTCCGAAGGACGGTCCTTCCGCCGGTCTCGCTCACACGATCGGCCTGATCTCGCTGTTCAGCGGCAAGCCTGTGCCTCCTAGCCTCGCCATGACCGGCGAGATTTCGCTGCGCGGGAAGGTGATGCCGGTGGGCGGGATCAAGGAGAAGCTGATCGGAGCGCTGCGTGCGGGCGTGAAGACCGTCCTTCTGCCGCAACACAACCGGAAGGATGTGAAGGATGTACCGCAAGAGGTCAACGAGGGGTTGGAGATCATTTACGTCAAGTAAGTTTTTCTCTTTGAGTGATTTTGGTATCTTCACTAATGCTTGGCTGTCAGACACATCTGGGAAGCCATTCGACAGGTGTGGCCCGACGCTCACTGGCCGGGGCAACACCAGGCCAATTTCATCGAGAGCCGGCTGTAGATCGGTTTTATACTCTCTCAGAATGGGATAACTGTAGATAATGCTCTTGTTTATGATTTAAGCAGCCAGCGGGGTTTTGTTCGATGCAGCGTTTTGCTATTCCACCCACTTTTGTGTTACTATAATCCAAATTACTAAAACCAACAATCAATATACACCCTAAATAATCAACCCACACCCCAACTCCACAAACCAAACCAACCACCTGAGAAAAGGAAAATGTATTTATAAACCCAAAGCGATATAATACAGCGCGACCATGAAAGAAAAAGAAACCCCAGAAGAAAATACATAACCCCAAAGGAACAAGCCAACCCTGTTCCCAGATCTAGGAATTTTCACCGCCTTTCATCGTTTCCCTGGATATCATCCATGCAATATATCCAGTTCATTCATATCCACCTCAAACATACCTCAAACCTCAAGCACTCACGACCTCGACCCATCCTTAGGACTGGTAGCCGCCTTCCCGCCCACCGCACGATCGTAATTCAACCCCAGGGCCTGCCAAGTAGGCCGCCAGGGCTTCTCGCCGCTGAGGATCTTCTCGGCCTCGGCGGCGTACGACTCGCGCTCCTTCTTGGGGGCCAACATGCCGGCCTCGGGCTTCTGGGCGTCCTGCATCTCCTGCTGCCACTTGGCGGCCTTGTAGTATTGGTCTTTCTCCCACCTATTTTTTTTTGCCGGAGAATTAGCATTGCGTCAGACACACAGCACAGCACAACCTGGACATCACATCTTCCACACACAGCATAGCCCGTGTATTGCATACGCAAACCACTCCAACCAAAGCAAGGGTAAAAAGGTAAAGGTAATAGCAACGTACTTATCCATCTCCTTGGGCGCCTCGGGCCACACAAACGGCTCCTTCATCTCAACGGTCATCCGCTTCTTGCTCTGCGGACGGCGCAGCGGGCCGTACCCGAACCGGCCCTTGGACTTCATGCGGGTGACCTTCTGCTGCTCGACGAAGCTGCGCACGGCCAGCACGCCGACCCCGTAGGCGCGCTGCAGGTAGTCGCGCATGTCGAGCTTGTTGAGGTTGAGCGGCACGTAGAAGGAGGCGTAGCGGGGCGGGAGGAAGGGGGTGCGGATGAGGGCGATGGTGAAGTCCGGTCTGTTTGGGCAGTATTATTAGCATGGTGATTTGGCTTTCGGTAGTATGCGGTATGGGGAGGGGACTGGGAATGATCCAGCGGCGGGAATTGCTAGGATTGAGGCTTTGGCTTACAGAAAGACCTGCTTGCGCGCCTCCAGAGGAGCGCCGGGACCGACCCAGCCTTCCGGCCGGGTGGGCACTTTTTTGGCGAGTTGCGTGAGTTTGCGGACCATTTTTGGTGGTGTCTGGTCCTTGTCGGGGGTGGGAGAGGGGAGAAGAGGAGGAGGAGGAGGAGTGCTGCGAAGTGTTGTGGTGGTGGTGGTGGTGGTGGATTTGGAGGTGCGGAATAGTTTGGTTATCTTCCGGAGCGGAACTTTCTTGCAATTCGTTGTTTGCGTCGTTTGGCCGCTTCGGCGCCCGTAGTATTTGATAGTACCAGGTAGTTTACTCCACTCCGGGAATAATGCAGAGATAGATGGCTGGCTCAATGCTTATGCTGTAATTGTCATTTACCTGTTCTTTGCACTTATGTGCAAATCGATTGGATGCCTTGGACAGGGTCGAGAGATGTTTGGAGTGGAAGTTCATAGTCGGACAATTTCTAACTTCAGCCAGTGGCCTCAGTAAAACCTCAAGATCTCAAGATTTAAGTTATTGGATAATCGCAAACAACAAGAAGGTAAGACCTACGACCGAACTAAAGGCTACGTGAGATGCAGAGAGAATTTCGAAGTCCCAGAAAAGTTCTATTCATTATGGTCATGATCGTATCATATCTTTTTATCCATCGCAGCAGATCCCTACTGCCCCCCCTCCGACACCTTCAAATTGCCTAGCCGTCGAGAACTCTCGTCGAGCTCATCCGACTGCGACTCCTCTCCCTCTTCCTCCTCCTCCTCCTCCTCCTCGTCGTCGTCATCATCCCCATCCTCCCGATCACTCCCCCCATCCCCCGTGGCCCCAACCTCCTGCATATAACTCTCCAACTCACGGGCCATCTTCCTCGAGAAGCCTGACGCCTCAACCTCGACATCCAACCGCTTCCCCGGATTGGCCATCATCTGCTTCTTGGCGTCGGCAAAGAAGGGACCGGGCACATCACTGACGAAATGGAACTTGCGGGAGAAGTACCGTTTGATGCAGTTGACATCGCGATCGAAGTACATCTCGGCATTGGGGTGATCGATGGAGACCATCTGCGGGAAATCAATCACCACGGGCACCAACGTCACTTTCTCGTCGTCCTCAGTCTCACGCCCCTTCCCTTTGGCGTCTTCCTCGACCACCTCCTTAATCAAAATATTGAACTCATTAAAATCACCATGAATCAACCCATACCGCGCAAACCGGACAATCATCTCCATCAACTCGGCGTACAGGCCGGCCGGGTCCGCGACCGACGAGATCTGGCGCAGCGGGAACGCATCGATCAGGCTCATGACGATCGTGTGCCGGTTCTGGGCGATGGGCTCGGGGACGCTGAACCCGTTGGCGCGCAGCGCCTTCATGAAGGCGAACTCCTTCATCGCCGCCAGCCGCGACATGTACATCCACGAGGCCGAGGTGCGGTGCCGCAGGTAGTCGCGGTTGGTCTTGACGGTGCGGAAGGAGATGCGGCCCAGCCGGTGGATCTTCAGGATGCACTGCTGCTTCTGGTGGTTGGCCACCACGTTGATGTCCGACTCCTTGCCCACCCCGATCTGGTTGCCCACCGAGTAGATCACCTTCTGCTTCTGGTGCGCGTGCAGCGCCAGGTAGTCCAGCCCGCCGTAGGTGAGCCGGTAGCCGTCGTCTGTCCCAAGAAAATATGTATGATAAGTAAAAAAGAAATGGAGACAAGGTTTGAATATCCCCCGATTACAGAGCAAGCGGCAGACGTACATTTAGCATTCTTCACCTTCGCAATCAAATTCGTCTTCGCAAGGTTCGAGATCGATCGATGCACCCCGCTGCCCCCGCGCAGGCCCGAGATCTGCGCAATCAACGGCGTCGGCACGATTTCATGGTTCCGACTGCCTTGTTCAACCTTTTCTCCTCAAGAAAGACAAATTTGTCTGTTAGCTTTGGTCAATACATCATGCGCTTGCTCCGAGAGATAAAATGGACAACCAAAAAAAAAGAGTCAAGGCGGGGAAATGCTTGGAGGGGGCCGTAGCATACCGCCGAGAGAACGCGAAAGTCCTCCGCCGTCAGGTAACGGATCGCTTTGGGGTCGAGCTTCATGGCCGCGATTCCTCAAAATTTGGAGTTGGTGAAGAGGCACAAAAATAACTAACAGTAAGTCGGATTTTCAAGAGTGCAGTCGGCCGCCTATCTCTAAAACCTTCGACGTGATTGCGGCGGCGTCCCTGAAGGTACCCGGGGAAAACTTATGGGCTCCACTGCCCTATGCCCTAGTTTCCTGTTCGGGATCTTTCTGTATACAACACGGACGACGTTGATGAACCGCTGCGACGATGACCAGAATCTACACTATATATACACCGAAGCATTACGTAAATCGACCTGGGTCCTTGAAACTAATTCTATCTTAAGAGTAAACTTCTTAACATGGAACACTCTCCTTCCTATATCCATTGATCTAATTGATATAAGGTATTTCCGGTTCGTTCTGAATACATTAAGTCCAAGAATCCCAAAGCTGTGATTTCCCGGCGCTCATTCAAGCTCGCAAAGTTTCATGTTCAGTTCTCGTCTCATTTATGCGGAAGTCTCCGCCTCCCAGTTGGGGTTCTGCATTCCAAGTTAGCAGGCGAACTTCAGTCAGCGAAAACACGGTGGATCGGGATATTTACCTTGCGCAAGATTACCAAACCCTCCAGAGTGCTGCTGAGAGGGATGTATTGCTCGTCTTCGAGTTCGGCCCGCTCACCATAGGCCAGGAGAACTGGCGTGCTCTGCGTCTGCCAGCCAGTGATCGTCTTCGGGCGACCGGCCTGGCCGACAACATCCACGGCCTGACCGACCCGGACATTCACAGTCAGAGGCTGCAAGTCTTCATCGAGTGTGACGAGGAAGCGAGGGTACATGGCAGTGATGAGGAAGTAGAGAAGGTAGTGGTGTTCGGCGAGGATGAATTGCTTGGCGTCAATCAGGGACACAAGGACGGTGAGCAGACCGGCAGCCGATACACGCGACAGGACCTGTCGGTCGGTGTGGAAGGGGTTCAGGGTCATGGTTCCCTTGCCCATATGCAGAAGACCCTGCGCAATGCGAACCATGAACAAAGAGTTCTGGTCGCGGTGGTAATAGCTAGCCAGTTGACGGAGCAACTGGGCCAAACGAGCGTTGTTGGTACCGGCACCACAAAGACCCATGGCGAAGATCGCGTTGATAGCAACGTCGTTGTCGGTGTCGTGACTGTATCTTGAAAGGGTATCGTAGACCTTCATTTGGGGGTTGCTAGGGGTGATCAGACCCATAGCGAGGGGTACAGCCTTCCGGATGTTGCTGGCACCGTAGTGCATGAGATGACCGAACTGGCGAAGAATCATATCCTGGCCAACTTCCTCGCCCATGGCGATGAGCGACAAACCAAGTACAGCATATGACTGGACCAGCTCGTCTCCCTTATTCTCGTCGCTCTCCTCAATGATGTCATTGCAGATGTGAAGAAGTTCCTGGAGCTTCAGGACTGTGCCAGTGCCTGCCCAGGCGCAGACCGAGGCAAGTACAGAGGTGGGCTTAGCCATGGGGTGATCCACGGCCTTGAGGATGTCAAGAACAACGTCGACCTCTTCTTGACGGCCGAAGTACAGAAGGGCGAGACCGAGCGCCATGAAACGGGTCCACTTGTCCTTCAGGTGCTTCTGTCTCTCCTCGTCCATCAAGGTCGAGGCAATCGCCTCACTGACTTGGTGGTTGGAAGAGCCAACGAAGATGAGACCCAGAGAGACAGCAGCCATGGCAGAGAGCTGCATATCCAGCGCACTGTCTTCGACGATCGGAAGAAGAACCTCCAACAGCTCCTCCTTGTTGGAGCCAGCATAGGCCAGACCAAGACCCATGATCGATGCGACCCGCATGGGCACGCTCTTCGCCTCCAAATTCTCGGGGTCGCTCAGGAGAGCCAGGGCAGGGTCAGAGTCGATCCGTACACCAGAGTTCAGGATACCGATGGACAACAAAGCACCCGCCTTGATCTGATCTTCCGAGGCGTACGTGTACTTGTCGATCTTATCCAGGCCGATCTCGACATCTCTGTGCATGAGCATTCCCAGAGAAGCCGTGGTCGACAGCATGCCGTCATCCTTCGTCTTCCACACCCAAGGACCCTTGTCACCTTCGACCAGCATCATCTTATCGTTTCCGAATCCAGCATTAGCAAACGAGTTCACGAAAGCGCTGGCGAGGTTGTGTCTAGCGGAATCGACGTTGGTGAGGCCGGCACCACGCGAGCTTTCCAAGTGAGTCTTATAGATATCCTCCGGCATCTTGGGATCCAAAATGTTGAGCTCCTTGCCAAGTGACTTGAAGTGCTTGGGGATCGAGGTATTGTTGAGGCAGTCCATGAACAACTGATCCTCTTCGTATTCCGGGAGATCGAGCCATATTTGTTGTCGGGAGACAAGGAACGCCATCTGCTTCTTGATAGAATCGTCCGAGGTGGCGTTCAAGTCGCTCTTGATCAGCTCAGTGTCGTTTAGGCGAATAGCGAGAACGATGGCCTTGGTGAGCTCCTTGTAGGTGACGTAAATCTCGTGGGCGGTGCGGAGGAATTGCTGGTCTTCTGGGTATGTTAGGAGGTTAACCATGCTAACCATATACAGGCAGACTCGGGCGTATGTGTTCTCGTCCACAAAGCGAGGGATCTCCTCGATGATCTCGAGCTCACTCAGCAAGTCGACGGCATCGGCTTCAGCGTTATGCTTCAGGAAGTACGGGACAAGAGAAAGAGCAAGGTCGATCAAATCTTGTACATCCTTCTCAGCATTTAGCCTGTTTTGATATTCCTGGCCGATCTCCAAGGCCAGGTGTCTGATATATTCATGGCCCCATGAGCCGAGGTCCTCCGACTTGGTCAGCAGGCGGTACTTCAGGGTCTCCAGCTTCTCCTCGTCTCCGTATGTCATTCCAAGAACTGATAGCATGTCGGCCAAGGAGTCCTAGTTGAGATAAGGTCAGATTGTCGCTCCGATCCGCGCCGTCATACAACAGAAGACGCACCTTAACCGGGCTAGCCGGCCACTTGTCATAAAGCGCCGTGAGGTCATCGTAGTGAGGTCGGAGGAATTTCAAGGGCTTAGGGACAGCGGTCATCGAAGATGTCGAGGTCTTTATGAAATTTTTGATCGCATCCAAGGCAGGGCTGTAGAGGGATGTATCCGGCTCCTAGGCAGGAAGGCGGAGCGTTAACGTCATCGATCGGGGCCTGTAGCAACAGCTGCTGTGTCCATACCTTTAATCTTTCCACGAGCATCTCCAGCTCGTTCTTCAATTGCTGGTCTTCTTCATTGAGCTCCTCTATTCATTTGATTAGCACTGCCACAGCAAGCTGGCATAGCTGGTGCCAGAAGCGGCGTCGGGTGGGGATGTTCCCGCCCATGCCACGGGCTCAATGTATCGCCTACCTTCCTGGGGCTCCTCATCCTTCTTCTTTCCGTCGGCTTGAGGCTTCTCGCCGGTCTGTGCCTTCTTTCCTCCAGCCAAATCTTTCACATCGTCAACCTTGCCCTTGCCCTTGTCGGCGGGAGCTGACCGCTCGCCATCTTGCGCCATTGCTGACGATTATATGGCGAGTAGGACTGTGTGGTATCGGGGATGGGGGGGGACTAGAGCGTAGAGAGATGCTCTAACGGGGTATCCGAGGTGGTAAAGGTCGAACAGAATAAACCTTGACGGAGCAGGCGATGACGAGGGGGGTGGAATCATAAGCTTGTTGATGGGGAAGCAGAGGAAGCTCTCTCAGTTCCTCGCCGCTCGGGCGGGCGTTGCGCTCCTGTGGAGCTAGGCTGCTTATGTAATGTCGCACCGCCAAGCCTTCGACTACAATAGAAGAATGAACTATCCATGTATGTCAGCAACATCAACTAACGTTAGTTATTTACTTCAACTATCCTCTACTCCTGCCTCAATTACTGTAGGGTGAATACCTCTACAATTCTATCATGTGCTTTGATGTTATTGGCACAGCTGGGACCATTCGCATAGTTATGCTGCACTAATACCATCTACAAATTCAATATCCCAATCATCTATATCTCTAATGTGGAATTAAGACATATTGATTGCAGCTGGAAGGCAAGCTCATACCAAGTTCTTGAAGAAGTACCTTTGCGGCATTTTCACCGAATGACGGCGTCTCAGTTGGCCGTCTAGGAGTTTACAATCGCCTCGTTTGCACACATCACCTCTTCCTTTCCAGTTGTGGACCGGACAGTATATCCGAGCTCCCGGAGCACATATCCAGCAGAAACAACACTGATTAGATCACTTCCAGTCATCCCTGGACACGAAGGCCGCTCAAATCGGAACTTGCGCTGAGTTCCGCGCTTTGAGACATTGCCCACAGTTTCTGTTTCCCCTCCCCAAGTCAATCTCTTGTTGGTCGTCAAAAGTACAGTTCCACGGAATGCAGATTCCAAACGCATTAGCACCATGAAGACAAGCAGCGTTTGTCGTCCAAGGCGTAGTCACCATCTCGTCATGCGAGCTTAAGCCTACACTCGACCTTTGGCACATGTTACACTGCAGGAAGCTGCGGGGATCGCGCTCTTCAGAGATCCGCCCCATGGAGAGGGGGCAGAGCTGATATGTATAAGATAAGCCCATTACCTCATCTTTTCCTGTTCACAGATTCCATGATCATCATTGCTGGCCTTTTGAAGCCATGGGTCGCACTAGAAGATACGACGACCAGAAGGAGGAGGCCAAAAAGCGTCATTTCCAGAGCCTCTGCGATGCTTGCTGCATCCGCAGCCTGGAACTTCGGATTCGAGCTTCTCTCTGCTGCGCCGATGATTCTTTTCTCGAAGCATTGGCGCCAAGGGCGCAAATGCCCCATGAAATCGGGTCTTCGTCTGATGCCCGGATCTACATAGAAGAGATGATCAAGTCCTGTGAGCTGGATCGTTGTATCGGCGTTGTAATACCACAATTAGTGCGTCTAATTCATGTGTCATCCTAGTGGCCCAACAATCCAGGAAGGAGACTACTTTCCAAACTCAGGAGTTCCAGGGGAATCAATGCACACAGAAGCTGCAGACCACAAAGAAATCCAATGATCCCCAGCAGCCCCAGACTTCCGAGAGCACTGTTACTACAGCCCCAGTGCGCCCTCTTCTTGTTTTTCACGGTCCCATAGCCTGCTAAAGTGTTACTAGTCTCAATCATCCCAACAACCCCAGACGTTCGAAAGTACGGAAGTAACAGTCCCTGTGAGCCTTCTTGTCTTTTAATGCCCAGCCTACTATCGCGCTAAACAGTAGTCTAGTCCACGGACAGTGAATGCAAGCGGCGTTATGAACACATGAAGAAATATCCATACATCGAGCATATCAGCTTCAGCCACCAAGGCTGCAGGCTCTGGGTCACGCAGAAGATCTTCTGAGGCCCCAGCGCTTTATCTCGTTGGAGGCCGATTTCCTGGACCAGCACATCCCTGGCCCATACGAGGAGGCGATGTGGGCGGCATGCCTTCATCACCCTCACTGCGACGTGTATGAAGAGTTCCACATCGAGCCCCTCGACGTGTCCCGCGACGGGACGAGGCTCAGAGTGAAATTTGTCCGGCCTTGCTGTCCCCCTGATAAGAAGCCGCTCCCTGCCCATCTGCGGGGACTACCCAGCACCTACTGTCAGCGCTGGGCCAGTGGATTAAAAGCGTTGGACACCGAGGATATCTCAGACTTCGTCCTGGCTGACGCTGACCAAGCTAATCTCCCTATAATCCCTTTGTTGGTACTGCAGCTGGCGGCCGAGCGGGCCGCAATCCCTGTTCCTCTTGCTGCTGACTCCAAGGAAAAGGTTACTGTCTCGGAGAAGGAGATACCTCAGGTCCCCAAGCATCAAGTCCAACGACACAAGAAGTTCCCTGTACTTTGTAACCTATTTTCCTTGGGTGTCTGTCTGCTGCCTTTGTTCTGGTGGCAGCGCTACAAGAAGAGTCGACAGCTCTGAGCTTCTCAGTAAAGCAGCAGAGCAGCCAACCCGCATTTCGCCCAAGAATTTGCAATCTCTCTTTGCTTCCGCGTGTCTTTTGCATGATCATTTATGAGGTTTCAAATTTCGGTTTCGTTTGGCTTCTACATTTCTGGGCAGTCTGCGTGACTATTGAATATGATTAGTTTGATATTAGACTCAGAGAAAGTGCTCTCCCCACCAATGTAGGTCATACATACACTGTGTTGCTTTCCAATTACGTGACTGATGTTGAGTGCAATGCACCATCGGTGACGAACGACTACTTCAGCTTGTGGTGAATAAATCTTCGATTTGGGCGAGGAGAGAGAGGTCCATAACATGATTTAGATATGTCGTACCGAAGAGGCATACAATGAGTCGAGCGAGAAAGCAAGAGATGAAGAGAACTAACCAAAATGCGAACTGAGTTACAGAAACCTTGTAGTAAAGCCCGAGGATACATATACACCAAACATCTCCATCAGAAGCCTCATTTCATCGGAACAGGGAAGTTTACTCTGCGCGCGCGCAGTTAAAAAGAGACGACAGCCACAGCCACAACCACAGGTGAATTATAAGTCACATATATAATAAGTCCTCGGAAGTCTGGACAAAGGGAACCCTAATTAAGTACCTGAAAAGAAGAAGCATGAAAAAGACGGAGCGAAGGGATAGTGACTTGCACATGTAGACGGGCTTGATGTTGGGACACAGACACACAGAAGTTGAAATGCAGACGCTCAAAGAAAGAACAAAATGCGACTGGCTCATTGAACGACTGACTTGATTTGGCGAAGAAAGAGGCAAAGAGAGCAAGAATCGAAATGAATGGTATCTAAGACAAATTCAATAATCCATGACTGAGTATCCCAATCGGTCGTTCGCGTCGAGGACACTGTGTGGTTTGCATGTTTAGTATGGACCCCGTTTATGGATGAAGACAAAACAGGCAAACTTACGAGTATTGCTTGGTCAACGTTCCCTCACCACCTTTCGAGAGATCGATACTGAAAACGTAAAAGTTTCCGTCACTGGTCACCACCATCACCTGGGGCGTGTTGGTGCTCATTGCAACGACACTGCGAAGCGGACCATTGCTGCCGTTGGCGCCGGGACCTTGATTGGTTTTGGGCAGTTTGATCCACGCAAAGTCACGAGCGGGCTCCCACATCTCACTGACACCTTTGGGAAGATACCCGCCCACCTTCGCGGCAAACGAGCTGCCGACATTTTGTGAGGTGCGCCGGATGATCCCCATCAAGGTTCCATTGTGTTTCCTGGAGGCTAGCTCAGAAGAGCCCGACTCTCCGCCAGCATCATCCGGGTCCGACGACTGGCCAAAGGAACTTTGGCTATATCTCCTGTCTGCAACAGTGGGCGAAGACGATGACGGAGTGGTGTGTGATGACTGAGACTGCTGGCTCAATTTGAACAGGTGAATGGTCTCGGTGGAGGAAGATACGCAGAGAAGTGTTGAGGTGGTATTGAACGACATGCTGTAGATCCTAGACGGTATCGATCCGCGCCGGAACTGATATAGCTTGTGACCATCAGGGACGGAAAACACTCGGATGATGGTTCCTTTGTCGGAAGCGGTGGCGATCAGTGTACCGTCGCTGTTAAGTGTTATACACGCCAGTGGAGATCGATGCGCTTCGATAACGTTGATAGCTTCCAGCTTCAGAGTGTCAAAAATCAGAACTTCACCACTCGTAGGTGAAATATGTGTGGTGCCAGGAGGCGCGTGAGAAGGAGGAGTAAACGACGAGGGTGGCGCCTTCTGGGGAAGGGGATACGCAAGGTAGCAATTGTCAGAGGAGGGGGATAGAGCGCAGATTGCTAGTGAAGTTAGACCACATACAAGGAATGCGCAGCGACGAGCGTTGTCTTACCATTTGGGTTCGGGGAAGTCTCAATGGTATACAATAGCTTCATCGTCTGAATATCGTAGAGGTAGATCTGATCCTCCAGAACTATCACAAGTCGTTTGCGATTCAGCTTGACCGCGAGCACGGTGGTAGGAAATGTCAACTCGCATATTGTCGACTGGCGCTATAGGTGGGATCGAGAAAGAAGAAAGTGTTAGCCAAATACGTCATGTGCGCGAGGTAGCAGACAAAGCAGTTATCTCGTCAAGGTACATGAACCCGCGAAGCCCGACAAATGTGCACAAGGGTGTCCTACGAACCTTGGTATTAGTTATTTGAAGGCGACGTGGTGACAAAATCAGCGCAACCAGGGATGTCGAGAAAAGCATCTCAATAATGGCAATGTTCCCTTCCTTCGTCTCATAGCTTTTCGCGAAAGGATCCGTAGTGAAGATACGAAATCCCTTGGAAGTCGCTGATAAGTGTCAAGAGATATTGCATGATTTAAGCTGAAGGATGATCCGGAGGGCCCTTACCGACGGCCAGATAGCTATAGTCCTGGTTGAACGTCACGAAATTCATCGCCATCTTGTCTGTGCCGATCGCTGTGATCGACCGCGTCCCACTCCGCGCAAAGAATCTATGACCGTGTGAATTGACGAGCTATGTGGGCGACCGAGAAGCAAGCGATGCAAAATACTCTCGACTTGAACTGAGGCAACTGCGGGGTTTAGACAAGCTTCAGTGTTGCTGAATGGAGGGGCTAAACAGATCCCGTCCTAGGACCGCTTCCGTCACAGTTGGTGATGTTCGCCTTGCATATCTCGTCGGGTGCTGGTGGAAAAGACGCAAGATAGACTTCGACGATCGATAAGAGCCGATGCTGCACGAGCTCAAGAAGGAAAGCGATCGCAGAGGTTCCAGTTGACAATAATAGCGAGGGATGGATGAGTAGCGGACTGGTTGGATGCGGAGGGATCGGAGAACAGCCGTTCGTTCGTCTTTGCCGCGGTTTGCGTCAGGCGCGGCAAGCGAGCACCTGACGCTCGGGCCACACCTTGATCGCCCGCCGCCGCTCCGATCAATTACAGTACGGAGAGACTAGACTAAAATATTTATTCCCATCCCGCTTTCTTCTCTTCGTTCAATTTTCTTTCGGTGTTTCCCAAAACCCCCCGCACAGTCGCCTATGATGACGGCGCAGAAGGAGGCTAGCCCTGCGACGGCTCCTACTAAGAAGCCCGTCATGGCGCCAGCTCTCTCCAAGGCTGAGAAAGAGGCCGATCTAGTCATGGGAGTAAGTTCTATCCATTCCGTCGCGGGGGTTGCTACTATGCGCCGGCGCCGATACTCGGCCACGATCTACATTGTCCACCCATGTATTTCCTCCATTCTATAGATTACGAGCCTGACTCTCTTAGACCAATAATAGCAGTATCGTGTCGAAACGCAGCGTCGAGATGCTCTACTACCCTAAACCGCATTACTTTCGGTATTTCGTGAAGAAGCCCCAGCGCCGGTCGCCATTGATCAACCGTGGCTATTGGCTCCGTATGCACGCAATGGCCGAAACAGTGCGCAAATTCATGGCGGAACCCTCTGGCAAGCCGAAATTCGTCCTGAACTTAGGATGTGGATTGTGAGTCGTAGTCGAAGGAAACTGCCCGGCATGCTGGAATCGGTATACTAAGTCGGGTTTTCGTAGTGATCCTCTGCCGTTCATTCTCCTCAACACCGAAAAGTCCCTTTGTAAAGATACGCGGTTCGTGGATGTTGATTACGAGAAGCTCATGCTCAATAAGAAAACGGCTATTAGGAGGACCGAGGAGATCACGCAGCTCCTCGAAAATGTAGAGTTCTTGCCGGACGATAGTGCCATCCAGATCCAGAGCGAGCATTATATTGCCATCGGCTGTGATCTGAAGAACTTGAAGAAGCTGGACGATGTCCTGCGCAAAGAGGTCCTTCCGGCCGAGTGCTCGGTTCTTTTCCTCGCGGAGGTCTCTTTGACGTACATGGATGTCACGTCTGCCAATGAAGTTTTGAAATGGGCCGCGCAGCTGAACAATGGTCAGACAACCCGACTGAGCCCTTTTGGAAAGATGCATCTAGTTGCTGACGCCAAGTTTGAAAGATGCCCGATTCTGCATACTGGAGCAGTTCTTCCCCGACGGACCAGACCATCCTTTCGCGTCAACCATGATGAAACACTTCAAGAAGCTCGGCGCGCCTCTCTTCTCGATCCATGAATACCCTTCATTAAACGAACAAGAGCAGCGATTCAAGAATGCCGGGTGGCAGCATGCACACGCAAGGAGTCTCTGGGATATCTGGTCAGATGACAATTTCGTGAGCAGGTCGCTGCGGCGTTCTCTGGACGAGGTCGAACCGTTCGACGAGTGGGAGGAGTTCGCGCTCTTCTCATCCCACTATTTCCTCTTGATCGCCTCGACCCAGGATGGATTCTTGGTGCCGACCACCGAACAGACCGAACTGTCTGCCTCTTCGGCCAACGTATCGAACGAGTTCGAACTAGTCCATACTGCCGGAGTCGGGCAAAGAAGATTTGGGGCGCTTATTGCAGACGAAGACAGCTCTATTGGGTACCATGCTGGACTAGGACGGCAGACGCGATTGGCAACGACCGATCTGTACTCCAAATCCAAGGATGCTGTGAAGCCTCATTGGCCGTTCCCTCCGCGTGACGTTTCTGCCCGAATGTGTCACACAATCACCCACCTCTCTGGTAGCGATTGTTTGCTTGTCGGAGGTCGTGCTTCACCAGCTGCAGGGTTTCAAGATTGCTGGGTAAGACAAGGCGATCAGTGGCGCCCGACCGACAGTCTCCCGACGGCGAGGTTCAGACATAGTGCGGCGCGAGTGGCGTTCGACTCGGACCATGTCCTCGTATATGGTGGAAAGACTAGCGATGGCAGTACCCTTGATACCTGGTTGGTGTGGAGCAACAACGGGGACGGATGGCTACCGGTTGAGATCAGCGGCGGAAACCCCGGGGCTCGATTCGGCGCTTGCCTGGCAAACATCGACAACACCTCCGGCGTCTTATTCGGCGGGATGAGTGATGATGGGGTCATCCTGGAAGACTTCTGGACCTGGACATTGCACCGCCGTGGCGAAAGGTCCTACTGTCTGGAGGTCAAGGATCAGACTGAAGACTTGCGAGGGCTCTCGCCCCTTGCCGTTAGCCTCAGCCGCTTCGGTGCGACCGCCAGCCAGACTTCGTGGGGACTAGTGATTGCTGGTGGCAGCATTCCTCGTCAGATTGTGCCTGCGCATCAGGAGCTGTTACTGCTTAATTTGAAGGAGCTCGCCACCCAGCTTCGCAGCGGATCTCCTTCGACGTCGAGCCCCAGCATTCTATCTACTATAGGACTGGGAAGAGACTGCGGAGCACCTAGGCCTCTGCTGGTGGGCCATGCCTCTTATGCAGTAGACGAGGATCAGGTCCTCCTGCTAGGCGGTGGTGCTGTCTGCTTCTCCTTCGGAACATTCTGGACGGAGGGCACCTGGCTGTTGAAGCGCGCCGACTCGAGCGTTGACAACGAATGGAAATTGGTCCCTGAGACAGTACCGCCTCCCAAGGTAGAGGGACTGCCGACGACCTCATCAAATACCAGCTTCGATACCACCACCACAACAAAGGATGTAACGCCTATTCCTCGCGTCCAGATCCAAACTGCTGCCCAATTCCAACAGATCCTCGCCGAGGGAAAGCCCGTCATTATAGAAGGATCGGACATCGGACCGTGCACTCACCTCTGGACCAAGGAATATCTAGCGAACGCGGTGGGCAGAGACCGGAAGGTATGTACACTACTGTACTGTACCTGAACCTTCAGGAAATCAACTTGTAAGGTTGGACTCAAGCTAAAAACCCCGGTAAAATTAGGTTGTCGTGCATGAGGCTCAGTCCGAGCACATGAGTTTCCAGACGAAGAATTTCGCCTACACGACCAAGGAGTTTGGCACGTTCCTGGACGAGGTGCATGCGGGGGGCCGCCAATACCTGCGCAGCATCTCGGCCGACCAGCCCACGAAACTGCCCGCCAACCTGGCCGTGGACTTTGCGGGATTGAAGGATGATTTCCGCCTGCCCGAAGCCTTTTCGGTCGTTTCGGAGAACGCGCATAGTTCCCCGCTGCGGATCTCGGGGCCCGTCACTTTGTGGCTTCATTACGATGTAAGTTTGTGCTTGTCTTGTTGACTTCGGTCTTGGTAGAACAGAGAAAGCGAAGGCCCGATCTTCTCCAACCAACGCTAAAGAAAAAAAAAAAACAAAACAAACAAAAACAAACTAATCACCAATGGAAACAGGTCATGGCGAACGTCCTCTGCCAAGTCCGAGGCGACAAGCGACTGATCCTCTACCCGCCCAGCGACGTCCCGTACCTCCAGGTACCCGCCGGCGCCTCCAGCTCGACCCTCAACGTCTTCCAGACGGGAGACGACAGCACGATCACCGCAATCCCACACACCTTCCCGCACGAAGCGCAACTCCGCGCGGGCGACGTCCTCTTCCTGCCGCCGCTGTGGCTGCACACGGCCAGCCCCGCGAAGGACCAGGTCAGCGTGGCCGTGAACGTCTTCTTTCGTAACCTGAGCCACGGCTATGCGGCCGGGC